TGGACAGAAGCTGAAGAGGAGTCTTCATCTTAATTTCAACATAACTTCCTGCAGTTTTGATGAAGAGGAGTGGAGGTCAGATCTGTAAGCCATTACATTTGTGCTCCTACAAGAGAAGGACTGCGAGTTTAATTTAATTGGCCAGCACAGCAGACACCAAACTACACACTAACAGACCACATTTATATTTGATGGAGTGTGTGAGCGCAGTCTTACAGCTGGACTTACACCCTAATGAAATGTGATCTGAGGTCAGAATGTGCTGTCACAACACTGGACACATAACAGATCTTAATTCCTCCTGTCAGTTATTTAATCAAGTCTGAGCTTCAGACCGCCAGCGGTTATTACAGCAGATGACTGAGCTCTGAGACGGTTCACAGCGCCGCACGTGTGTGATTATTATTGACTGTTCGTTTGAGTCAGATTCCTCTGTGATGACATGATGATGATGGTTGATGCTGATTTGATTTACTGAGTTGACTCTTCTTAGTCTGTAAGTGTCTGATGATTCCCGATTCTCTCAATTAGATGTCGGTTTGATCCAATGAGTTGTTTAAGCTTTCTTGATGAAGACTCTGTCTAAGATGATCCTAAAGTTGTTGGTTTGATTCATTGAGTCGACTCTTCTTCCTCAGTGATGATTCTCAACTCTTTTTGTTCAGTTGTTTGTTTGATTCATTGAGTCGACTCTTCTTCCTCAGTGATGATTCTCAACTCTTTTGTTCAGTTGTTGGTTTGATTCATTGAGTCGACTCTTCTTCCTCAGTGATGATTCTCAACTCTTTTTGTCCAGGTGTTTGTTTGATTCATTGAGTCGACTCTTATTCCTCAGTGATGATTCTCAACTCTTTTTGTTAAGTTGTTGGTTTGATTCATTGAGTCGACTCTTATTCCTCAGTGATGATTCTCAACTCTTTTTGTTCAGTTGTTTGTTTGATTCATTGAGTCGACTCTTCTTCCTCAGTGATGATTCTCAACTCTTTTTGTCCAGGTGTTTGTTTGATTCATTGAGTCGACTCTTATTCCTCAGTGATGATTCTCAACTCTTTTTGTTAAGTTGTTGGTTTGATTCATTGAGTCGACTCTTCTTCCTCAGTGATGATTCTCAACTCTTTTGTTAAGTTGTTGGTTTGATTCATTGAGTCGACTCTTCTTCCTCAGAGATGATTCTCAACTCCTTTGTTCAGTTCTTTGTTTGATTCATTGAGTCGACTTATATTCCCAGTGATGATTCCCAACCATTTTGTTAAGTTGTTTGTTTGATTCATTGAGTCGAATCTTCTTCCTCAGTAATGATTTTTAACTTTCTTGTTCAGTTGCTGATTCGATTCATTGAGTCGACTCTTCTTCCTCAGTGATGATTCTCATCTCCTTCGTTCAGTTCTTGGTCTGATTCATTGAATCGACTCATCTTCCTCAGAGATGATTCTCAACTCTTTCATACAGTTTATCTGATTCATTGAGTCGGCTCAGTCATGATGACTGTGTAGGGGTCTGTGATGATACTCGACTCTGATTCAGTAGTTGATTTGATTCATTGAGTCGACTCTTCTTTCTAAGTCAGTGATGGTGTCTGACGATGCTCGGATCTCTTATCCATCTCCATTTGCTCAGGTTTGATGGTCATACTCATGGCAGCATCATCTGTGGTCGTCATGGAGACGGTGTTACAGTGGCTGCACATCTGATCTCCTGCTCTGTGGTCCGTCCTGAAAGCCGGATCTCTAAAACTGCAGAGCTGAATCAACGATGCTCTGGAATGAGAAGTGATGTGTTGAGGATGAACAAATGTGTGTGCGTTCAGCTGTTAAACACAGCCATTCGTCTCCCTTAGCCAGCAGTCATGGATCTTTAGAGACAGCGCTAAACACATCGCTTCTGCAGAACATGCTTCTGCATTCATACATCATCTGGCTGAAGATCAATCTGCAAGATCAATGTTGAGCATCTTGTGTATTTCACGTTGATCTCTAGACATGACTTCTGCTGATGGGATTGTTGTGTTTGTGTGGTGTTGGAGTGGTGCTCTGGCTCCACCATGTGGACACACACACATACTGACAGTCAAAACACACACATTCTCCAGTCACATGACGATGATTGACGTGTGTCAATCCTCATTAAATATTTCCTCCTGGCATGTTTATCTCTGAAATATTTTTAACACTCAAAGCTGTAAAAATATCACTACAGTGTCCAGAAGATCCAGATTGCATATGAATGTGGGCCACTTTAGGCAGTTATGCAGCACTGGTGGTCTTCCTTCAGCCCAGACAAAATTAATGTGAGCCTGAAGTGGCCCACCTGTAAAATGCCAAAGGGAGGCCTAAGATTAAATTCATATATGGACCATTTAAGGCAGAGATTTGGCATTTATGGCAGAATATAATCTGAATGGGAGCCTAATGTGGCCCATGGTAATAATGCCATGGATAATGGTAAATTTGGCCTAAATGATGGAGGACACATGTGGGCCACAGTTGTTAAAGTGGCCTAGTCATTTAAGGGTAATCTGGGTCTAAACCTGAAGTGGCTCACACATGTCAGTGCAAATGTGGCCCAGTTATCTTAAAACATATGTTGAACATTTTTGGCAAATATTTGGCACAGTTAGCTCTGGCTAATGTGGCTATGAGGATAATGTGGCCCAGAGAAAATATGGCAAATGTGGCCCAGTTATCTCAAAACATATGTGGGCCACTTCTGGCAAAATATTTGGCACCGTTAGCTCTGGCTAATGTGGCTGCGAGTCTAATGTGGCCCAGAGAAAATATGGCCCAGTTATCTTAAAACGTATGTGGGCCACTTTTGGCAAATATTCGGCACAGTAAACTCTGGCTAATGCAGCCGTTAGCCTATAGTGGCCCGGAGAAGATATGGCAAATGTGGCCCAGTTATCCTAAAACAAATGTGGGCCACTTTTGGCCAGTGCCATCATTCCATGCGGTATGTGGGCCGGATTTGAGCCACATGGATTTTGCTAGCTGCTCTTTTATGTCTTCTGTTTATTTTCTACTGTGAAACTTTGCATTTATTCAAGCGTTCACCCTCAGCTGATGATCCCGGGAGAGAGCTCAGAGGATCCTCGAGCCCGGGGCTCCCTCCTGTTTGCAGGGCGAGAGGGGAGTTTGAGCTCAGGTAGATGTGGAGAACTCCCCTGCTGTAGTAGCTGATGAACAGATAGTGATCGCTCTTAAGAGAGAACTACTGACTAGGAGCATATGGTGCTGATGTGGATTAGTCAATGAACTTAAGCTGCATGTTTTTGGACGGTGGGAGGAACCCGGGGGAAACCAACATGAGCATAGGGAGAATGTGTTAACTCCACATTGAAACATCGGCTGGCTTAGTAAGGACTAGAACCAGTGACGTTCTTGCTGTGAGGCAACAGTGCCACCCATTTTATTAAAGTCGGAGGAGTAGGGGCGGAGAGGGGGATTCTTTAAAACCAAGCTGGCTGTGATATGGAGCTCAGGGTGTTTATAGTGGCTTAGGAATCGTCTGATTGGTTAATCATAAATTGAATAATGTGGGACCAGCTGTGATCAATCATAAGCACGAGATCCTCTCGACATTAGTTTATAAATAAACTTCACTTTTCAGCTATTAGAAACATTTACAAGCAAGGTTTTTCTTTCTAATATGAATAATCCAGACTCTGTGACATGTTTATTATGTAATCTATAGGATGCATATGCTAAATGTAATATTAAATCAAAATATAACAGTATTCATTCATATTCCTTCAGCTTAGACCTTTTATACATCAGAAATCGCCACAGCGGGATGAACTGCCAACTATTCCAGCATAGGTTTTACACAATGGATGCCTATCCAGCCGCAACCCAGGACTGGGAAACACCCATAAACACTTATTCACACACACTCATACACTACGGCCAGTTTAGTTGATCAGTTCCCCTATAGCGCATGTGTTTGGACTGTGGGGGAAACCGGAGCACCCGGAGGAAACCCACACCAACACGGGGAGAACATGCAAACTCCACACAGAAATGCCAACCCAACCCTCTCAGGAAACAATCTGCATTTTACATTTTCAAAATATTTCATTGTGTCTGATTTATAAGCATGTTTACCCAGGGGTGTAGTGGACATTTTAAAAGTGGGGGGGGGGGGGGGGGGGGGTTAATAATTCACATAGCCTACCCCAAACCCAACCCTCAGGGAACTGTACAGAAACCTCACTCTGTATGATTTATAAGCTTTTTGAGGAATGGGGACATCATGAGTCGCACCTTTTTCATTTACTACTCATGTATGCTGTGACAGTTTTGCACATTATTAATTCTCCGCTGGATTTCACACAACAGTTTTTCACATTTACATTCATCGTTACATAAATCTTTATTATTATTGATTTGGTAGTTTATACTTCTGTTTACTTTTCGCATGCATATTTTGTTAAATAAGTATTTTAATTTACATTAAACCTTATTGGCGTCATTTGAATCTCCTAATACCTGTGTCATCCTACGCCATTATGCACATTTGTGTCCTGATAAGTCACAAAAACTCGTACAGACACACATGTCGGTATGGGTGTACTTGTCTTGTTATATCCCAATGAGAAGAGGATGCACACAGACAAGTGGGGACACAATTGAGCGCCCCAATGGTTATAACTCACACACAATGAAGTATCTTGAACATGTATAATGCAGATTGTTTCCTGATGGGTTGGGTTTAGGGGTGGGTCATATAATTAGAGGTTTTACTTTCTAAAAAAAAACTCATTCTGTGTGATTTAAAAATGGGGACATGATCCTAAGTCATTACTATCTCCTAATACATGTGTCATTCTGTGTCATTATGCTCATTTGTGTCCTGATATATCACAAAAACCTGTACACACACACACACACACGCACACACACACAGATGCGGAACAACAAGTCTGAACAAACTCCTGTGCTTTACTTCCGAATGTTTGAAACACCTCCGGCCTCCAGCGCCTCCTCCCGCCGCTCCTGCCTCCAGAACGGAGACTCAGACCGGAGACCGACACCGGAGACCTGCCGCTGCACCGCACCGATGACCGACAACGAGCGCGCGGCCAGAAACCTCAAACACGTCCTGCAGAAACCGGGGAACGGCAGCTGCGCGGACTGCGGAGCCGACAGTGAGTTTCAATTCACAGACACACTCACTACAACTAGCCGGACTTCAGACATGACCGAACCTGCGCGCGGATAAACACACACACACACACACACGGGCAGTATTCACCTGAAGCACAGCACCACACCACAGCACGAGCTTTAAACAGTGTTTAATAGTCTGTTTCTATTGTGTTTTATATAGCCTTTTGCTAAATATGCTATATATTGCTTTAGGCGTTGACAGAGTTGAAGTAGGATTGGAAACTCTCCGGTTTGAAATCAGAATAGAGGCTGGCGCATACGCTGTGTGTGTGTGTGTGTGTGTGTGTGTGTACAGGTATAGGTTTAAAGGCACACAATGGTGTATAATGAATTAGTTGTACTCTATTAATTTGGTCTGCAGACACACACATCATGTCTGCGCATTAAATATGATTAAAAGTTAAAATAAAAAATCTAAATTTCTAAAAAAAAAAAAAAAATACAATTGTCCAGAGGTTTGCGTGAGGTTTGGGTTTATGTGGTTTTCACTGTACAAAATATTTATGGCCTATGGGCAGAGTGCCTGTAAACCTGTGTGTGTGTGTGTTTTATGAAATCACACTGTAAACCATTGTGTTGTCTCAGTTTACATCAGTTAAACTGACTAAAATATTATGTTAAACTTTGTATAACCTTAAATATTAACGTGAAACCTGATTAACGGATTAAAATAAGAGAAAGCAACAAAAATATTTGCTAACTTAACTATATTCATACATTTTGTGTATTCACACATGATGTGTATATTGTCATGAGTATGACACTGTCTGGAGAAGCTGAATTATAGGGATATTATTGATGTGCCAATTTCTCAAAAGGCTTATAAATAATAGATAATGAGTTTTATTTCTTTTCAGAAACTAAAACTGCACCGTTTCCTGTAAGGGCTTGGGTTAAAATTGGTGCAGAGTAATAGAAAATACAGTGTGTGCACTATAAAAGCAATGGAAGCCTATAGAATGTCCCCACAATTGAAAAAAAAACAAACCTGCATGTGTGTGTGAGTGTTCATACCTGTGTAATGAGAGCAGCTGTAGGGTCTGTACAAGGATTCCTGGTTTGTTTTGCGGTTGTGTTTGCATTAATGTTGGAGCAGATTTAAGTAGTGTACAGCAGATGTACTGTGTTTTACTGTGGTACTGCTGTCGGCCGTGCTGTGAGCTTGTGTTTGTCTGCTGGACGGAGATCAGATCTCCACTGTAGGTGTGGTTGAGATTTCTTCATGTTTCTTGGCAGAGATGGAGAGAGTGATATGGGGATGTGGAGACGCAGATGAAGAAACAGGAAGTGTGTGTTTCTGTAAAACGCTTCATGTCTGACACACACACACACACTTCTGTCCTCAGGTCTGAAATACTGGATAAATCACACTTGTCAGCTTCACTATTGAAGAGTGCTTTGGCTGTGATGTTATAGAGCAGGAGTGTCCAAACTCAGTCCTGCAGGGCCGGTGTCCCGGAGAGTTTAACTCCAACTTGCTTCAACACACCTGCCTGGAAGTTTCTAGTATATAAGAGCTTGATTAGCTTGTTCAGGTGTGATTGATTAGGGTTGAGGCTAAACTCTTCAGGACACTGACCCTCCAGGACAGAGTCTGGACACCCCTGTTATTGAGGAACCGTTTTTGGTTCCCCTGAGAACCATGTTTTTATTAGTGTGCAGAGCTTTTAATAATCTTTGCTCGCACTTTATTTTGAGGCGTGTGTCCCTGTTACAGTGTAAATATTTATTAAGCTTCTGACTAATATTACATTCAAATTCACATCTCTGTCACACACAGTGAAATGCATATACTATCAGTGCTCAGTGGTTATCAGATCACTATGGTCTCACAGTAAGGAGGTCACTGGTTTGAGTCTCGGCTGGGTCAGTTGGTGTTTTCTGTGTGGAGTTTGCATGTTCTCCTCGTGTTGGTGTGGGTTTCCCCCACAGTCCTAACACATGCACTATAGGGGAATTGATGAACTAAATTGTCTGTATTGTATGAGTGTGTGTGAATGAGTGTGTATGGGTGTTTTCCGGCACTAGGTTGCAGCTGGAAGAGTATCCACTGCGTAAAACATATGCTGGAATAGTTGGCGGTTCATTCTGCTGTGGCAATCCCTGATGTATAAAGAGACTTATATGAAGGAAAATTAATTAATATGAATTATTAAATGAGTTATTATGTAGCAGTGATTGTCATTATAATACAGTAATGTCTGTTGTGTCAATAGATACATTTGCAGAATGATTATAAATCATTATAAACAGTTATAATTCATTATAACTGCATTATAGCTTCATAGAAAGTGCACTGAAAAAATGTTTATTTGTGTTGAATTTAAACAAACAAGTAAACTTTTGTAATGTTCAACTTAATTTATTTGTTTAAATTCTACATTAAAAATGGTTTACAACCCCTTAACTTAAAAAAAAATAGGTAAATAAAAAAAGTAAAAGTAAATCATCTTTGATTAATTTTTTCAGTGTGTCACCGGATATTGTTTGTGCAGAAATGCATGTCCTGATCCTTCATATCTGTCAGGGAGATGTGTATTTAGTGTTATTTTTACCCAGTTACTGCTGGAATATCCTCCTGCTGTGTGTTTGAGTGTCTTCAGGGTGTGTTAATGGTATTTGAGGTGTTTCTTTAGCTTCAGGGTGTCTGTGTGTCTTTGTGTTTTTCAGGTTTTCACAGTGTCTCCTTTATTCTGTTTTATCATGTCGGTCTGAGCTTTGTGTGGGTGCTTGGTCTCTCGATATAATAGATGTACTTGAGTGTTGTTTTTTTTTATCTAAAATTAAAATATTATAATAATTGAGCCAAAAATGGCAAATATTCATGGCATTATTTGCTTCAGTGAATGTGTTTTGCTGTGTAAATATATGAAACTGTTTAATCTCAAGAAAGAACCACTGGACTCACAAAATCCTTTAGACACTGCATCACCTTAGAATTATCAGGTTCTGTCTGACATTTTTGTCAAAATTGAGTTATTGACATATTCCTATCAAATGACAACTTATTTACATTAAGGGATGTTTTTTTTTATAAGTTACATTTACATTTTAAGACTTTTTTTATTTAATAAACAAATGTTACACACATGCTGTTTGCTATGGAATGCAAAAACTCTGAAGCTCAATATCTCAAAACCTTTCAGAACACAGAGAGAACCTTATAATTACAAGATGACGACTGTTGAATTGTGCTGTAGTGCTGATGATGCGCTTTATTAATGCTTTTTAAATCTAAAATAAAAATGATAGTAATTGAGTCGAAAATGGCAAATATTTATGGCATTATTTGCTTCAATTAGTGTGTTTTGCTGTAAAAATGCTCACAAATTCTAACATTGTTTTTTTGTTTAATCTTAAGAACCATTAGACACACAAAACCCTTTAGACACTGTTTAATTGTGCTTTATTATTGCAAATATTTATGGCATTATTTGATTCAATTAGTGTGTTTTGCTGTGAAAATAAATTAAAATCTATTTTATTAGATAGATTAATTATCTTTTTAATCTTAAGAACCATTGAACTCGCAAAATCCCCATGGGGCTGTTTAATTGTGCTGTATTAGTGCTGATTGTGTTTTTGTGTCAGATCCAGAATGGGGCTCTTGTTCTCTGGGCGTCTTCATCTGTCTGGCCTGCTCTGGTGTTCATCGCAGTATTCCCACAATCGGGAAAGTCAAATCCCTCCGACTGTCCCGCTGGGAGGATTCAGAAGTTCAGGTGTTTTTTTGTCTTTATTTCTGTTCAGAAAATAAGCAGATCCGTGTAAAACTAATAAATTCAAGGAAAACATTTGACGGTAAGTTCTAAGTTAAATGTTATTAAAATGTTTATTAAATTAATTAAATAAAATATAAATATAAAATATATATTTAAATATAAAATATTTATTTATTTATTTATTTATTTATTTATTTATTTATTTATTTATTTTTGTAATATCTGTTTATTAGTTTAATAAGAACAAGGAATGTTACGTTTAATTTAATTTAATAAAAATTTTAATTTAATTTAATTTAATAAAAATTTTAATTTAATTTAATTTAATTTAATTTAATTTAATTTAATTTAATTTAATTTAATTTAATTTAATTTAATTTAATTTTTAATTTAATTTAATTTATTTTAAAATATGGAATGAGTTAAATTGAAGGAATGACTATTTTATTGTCGTTAGAATAATAAAGTAAGGGGATGAGTTAATTTTTAGATTCAGAAAGCCTCATATGACTCCAGAAGACTTGGAATATAGTGTGAGTCATATTAACTTTATGATACATTTATGCTGCTTTTCCTTTCCAGTCATGCTCCGTATCAGCTGTTTTATCTACAGCGGCATGAAGATTTAAAGAGAAAATACAGAGAAAAGGGTTTAAAACATCATGATATTGCGCACTAAACAACCTTTTTAAGATGTAGGCATGTAATTTGCTAATTTAACATGTCGTATGTTTTAGCACTGATTTGCAGTGGTGTTTGGGTTGCCAGGTTTGCATTCTGAGACCAATGTCTATTAGTAAATAATTCAGTTTCATTTTATATTTACAAGTAAGAAACCTTCTGGTGGTTGCAAAAAATAGCTTTTCTTAGTTTTTGTCTTGTCTCTAGTCCAAATATCAACACATTATTAAACATTGAAGCTGTTTGTAGACAAGACAAACATTGTGTTTTGTTTTCAGTTGCAAGTCATCAAATTAAGTGAGTTTTAGCTGAAAACAAGCAAAATAATCTGCAAATGAGGAACATAAAATAACAGTGTTTTCAGTTTGAAATGCTTTTATTTAGCTTCTCTCGTTGGCAGATTATTTAGCTTTCTTTAAGAAAAAAAATCACTTTATTTTAACTTATTCCCAAAAACAAAACAAAATTTTATACTTATCTAAAAAATGCTTCTTGACTTAAGAGTTGTTTGATATTTAGACAAGAAACAAGACACAAAAACAAGAAACACAGCTCACAGAAAATTGCAAACTTATAAAGGAATGATCTAATAAGTTATTTGGGAAATCTGCAGACCTGGCAACACTGATGGTGTGTGTTTGTGTGTGTGTGTGTGTTTGCAGTTCTTGTCGGAGTGTGGAAATGACTTGATGAAGGCCGTGTATGAGGCTGCTGTTCCTGTTTATTACTACAAACCCACACACAGAGACTGCCAGTGAGTTTCTCCATCTCCTCATGCTAAACTATATTTTAGGACTGCACAATATATCATGCACACACACACACACTCATACACTACGGCCAGTGTAGTTGATCAGTTCCCCTATAGCGCATGTGTTTGGACTGTGGGGGAAACCGGAGCACCCAGAGGAAACCCACACCAACACGGGGAAAACATGCAAACTCCACACAGAAACACCAACTGACCCAGCTGTGACTCGAACCAGCGACCTTCTTGCTGTGAGGCCACAGGAATAACCACTGAGCCACCGTGCCGCCCATACTACTGTTACGTCTTCTTAAATGACCGAGTCTTTACCAAATTATCTGCTCATTAGTCTTTAATCAGCAGTGTTGGTGAGTGTAGTTTTGTGGTTGTGTGTGTGTTTTTGAGGGTCCTGAAGGAGCAGTGGATTCGAGCCAAGTACGAGAGGCAGGAGTTCACGGAGGTGGGAAAAAAGCTGACCTATGAGGACGGTACGGGAGTGTTTAATACTCTGAACACCGCACTGATGATTACTGCATGATGACTGACACACTGTCTGACCAATCACAGAGAGCAGAGATGGCATGCTAATGAAGAGGGGGCGGGACAACGGGCAGTTCCTCAATAGAAGATTTGTCCTTTCTGTGAGGGAAGGCATACTAAAGTACTACACTAAACTAGATGTAAGTTTGTGTGTGTGTGTGTTTGCAATTTTTTAAGGTTAAGTAATTTTGTTGTGTTTTGTCATCTCTATTATGTTTATTTTGTCGTTCATTTCCTCTGTAATTTTCTAGACGTTATTCATTGGGTATTAGTTGTATATGTCCTGTTAATAATTTTTTTTTTTTAAGTTTTCGTTAATTCATTAAGTAATGCATTTTTGTCTGTTTTTATTATTATTATTCTTTTTAATAATGTTATTATTTTATATTTTTATTATTTTATTATTATTGTTATTAATTATTATTATTGTATTATTATTGTTATTGTTATTAGTTATTATTATTAAATATTATTATTATTATTTCTTAGTATTAATATTGTATTATTATCATTATTGTTATAAATTCTTCTTATTGTTATTAATATTCTATCATTATTATTGTATTATTGCTATTATTATTATTATTATTATATTATTATTATTATTATAAATTATTCTTGTTGTTCTTATTATTATTATTATTATTATTATTATTATTATCATTGTATTATTATTATTATCATTATTATCATTATAAATTTTTATTATTGTTATTATTTTTATTATTAATAATCATAATTATTTTATTATTATTAATAATAATAAAATAATAATAATTATTATAAATAATTCTTATTATTTCTTATCTTATTATTTCTTATCTTATTATTGTTATTATTTTTATTAGCATTGTATTATTATTATTATTATTATTATTATTATTATTATTATTGTTGTTATACATTTTTCTTATTATATTTTTATTATAGTTAATATTAATATTATTTTATTATAATTTTATTAATATTATTGCTATTAATTATTATTATTATTTTTATTATTATTGCTATTAATTCTTCTCCTTATTATATTATTATTATTGTTGTTATTATTAATTATTATGTAATAAATTATTATTTTTCTTATTATTGTTATTATTGTTATTTATTATTATTATTATTATTATTATTATTAGTTTATTATTGTTCTTGTTATTAATTACTATTTTTATTATTATTTAATTATTTTTGTTATTATTATTATTGTTATTATTAATATTTTATTATTATCATAGTTTTTTTTAAATAATTGTTATATATTTATTTGTAGTTTTGACATTTTCTTAAGTCTTTATTTTTATCTTTTTCATTTCCAAATGTGAGTTTTCTGTCTTGCACTGTAGTTAATCACTGTTTGCACTGTAAGACACTGTTTGTCTCCCTCTGCAGGCGAAGGAGCCGAAGGCGCTGATGAAAGTGGACACACTCAATGCCTGCTTCCAGCCGGATAAGATCGGGAACCCAAACGGCCTGCAGATCACATACATCAAAGACAACATCACACGCAACATCTTCGTATATCACGACAGCAGCAAGGTCAGATACACACACACACACACACACACACACACACACACACACACATACAAACACACGCAGGCACGCTCATATGCATTTACAAACACACATACAATACACACACACATGCAAACACATGATCAGCTTTGATACACACAGATGGCTCGCACACACACACATATAGCTTTGTGTTATGTATATATTACACACACACACACTCCCTCTCACACACAAACACACAGACGCATTATGAGCTATTTTCCTAATTAAGACTAATAAAATGTCCATTTGGTGGATGGATCTCGCACAAACACACGTCTTTGTGTGTGTGTGTGTGTGTGTGTGTGTGTGTGTGTGGCTGTCTGTCAGGAGATCGTGGACTGGTTTAATTCCATCCGTGCTGCTCAGCTGCATTACCTGAAGGTGGCCTTTCCTGGAGCCACAGACGCTGAGGTCAGACGCCTGCAGTGTGTGTGTGTGTGTGTGTGAATGTTTGTGTGTGTGTGTGTGTGTGTGTGTGTGTGTGTGTGTGTGTGTGTGTGTGTGTGTGTGTTAAGTTTGTGCTTGTATGTAAGTGTATGTGCATTTATTAGTGTAGTTATATGAATGTGTGTGTGTGTGTGTGTGTGTGTGTGTGTGTATGGTCGACGTTGTGTTTGACATCCTTGTATATTTGTAGTGAGGCGTGTTTGTGTGTGTGCATGTGTATGAGAATAGTTTGTGTGTTTGACAAGTTGTGTGTATGTTTAGTGGTGCATGTTTGTGTGTGATGTTGCATGTTACAGTGTGTGTGTGTGTTGCGGTGCATGTTTAAGTATGCATGTCTGTGTGTGTTTGTTGTGCTGCATTAGTTAGTGTGTGTGTGTTGTAGTGCGTGTTTCAGTGTGCATGTCTGTGTGTCTGTGTCTGGTTCTGTGCATGTGCTTGTGTGTGTGTTTTGTTGTGCTGCTGTCAGTGTGTGTGTTTGCATGTGCGTTTCTGTATGTGTGTGTGTGTGTGTGTGTGTGTGTGTGTGTGTGTGTGTGTGTGTGTCAATGAACTCTCTGCTTTTGTACACTGTGCAGCTCAAACCCAAACTCACACGCAGCTTCCTGAAAGAGGGATACATGGAGAAAACCGGCCCACGGGTGATCAACACACACACACACACACACACACACACACACACACACACACACACACACACACACACACACACACACACATTTGAAAAAAGGATACTTTCTTTGATCTCTTTGATACATTGTATTTAAGATGACTGCATGAAAGAACACTGTCGATACATTGTAACATCTCTGAATGAACCTGAACAGAATGAAGGAAGTAATGGAGGAAGAGCCCTGATTTCATTCCTTCAGATGTGATTAGACTAAAGTTGACCAGCTGTATTATATCATATATCATATTCATATTAATCATTCACTCCTTAATTATCTCACGTGGACTAACAATGAGCAGTAAGCCTTTATTAGTCTTTGCTGATGTGATTGTTCACTAGTCACAGTGCATTTATTAACATTTACACACATCTACTATTATAAAGAGTACGAGTAAAGCTGAAGTATTGTTGTTTTTAATCTGCTCCTTTATACTGTGGCTATCACTGACTTGATCCTGCCTTTCAGAGCAGATACATGCAGTAAATAATGTCCCTGATCAATCATTCTCATTGAGCTGATGTATTGTTTTGTGGTCTACAGCAAACAGAGGGCTTTAAGAAGCGCTGGTTCACTCTGGATCATCGACGACTCATGTACTTTAAAGATCCCCTGGTAAGATTCATTAAATAGGCACATTTAGATGAATATAAATACACATATTCAAGAAAAATAAAATAAATTCATAAATTAAAAAAAAGGTAAACAATTAAATTCAGTATAAGACAATTTAATATTAATTCTAGATGATTTTCTATTTTATTTCATAAAAAAAAAATTAATTAAAAAAAAAAATATATATATATATATTAGTGTTGTCAATCGATTAAAAAATAACTATAAATAATCACATTTTTTTTGCAATTAATCGCAATTAATCACATTTAAAAGACTGAAACTTGTAATTTTGGCTCATGTGATATGCTATCAGAAATAATGAGTTAAAACAAAGTGAGTTTTCCTTAAAATAAGAACAATGATCTGCCAATGGGGGAAGCAAAATAATAATAATTTTCACTTTTGTTATGACATTATTTCGCTTATTCCATTGGCAGATTATTAAGCTTGTTTTAAGCACAAACAACCTTCGGTTTGACTCATTATTTCTGAAAACAACACTATATTTTGTGCTTGTCTAGAAAATGCTGACTGATTTAAGAATTTTTATACATTTAAACTAGAAACAAGACAAAAACTCTTAAGTGACAAGCATTTTTCTGCAGTGCACACTATGAGCTATGTACAAAAGAGCCTCAACTGCAGCTCATCCACAGTGTTTGCAGTCTTATTATTTAAGTACGAGAGGAGAGAGCGGACTGTCTGTTTCTTATTTGTGTTTCAGGATGCGTTTGCTAAAGGCGAGGTGTTTCTGGGACACAGGGATCACGGGTACCGCGTGACCATCGGTCTGCCTGCCGGCTCTCACTGTAATGGGGCGTGGCAGTTCGGCATCACCATAGAAACACCTGAACGCAGCTTTCTGTTCACCTGTGAGACGGACACTGAGCAGAAGGACTGGATGAGCCACTTCAACACACTCATCTGCACACCTATGAGCCCGCAGGAGTACAGCGGTAACACATCACACGTTATAATGACACATCACATGACATATCACATGATACACAACATGACATATCACATGATACATCACATGACATATTACATGATACATGACATGTGACATGATACACAAGGCATACCACATGACACATCACATCATGTGGCACATCACAATACTCATCACATGATTCATAACACGCAATATCATGACACATCGCATGACAGATCACATGATACATAACGTGACATCACATCACGCGGCACATCACATGACATGATGATACATAGCATGACATATCAACATGTCATATCACCTGACATATCACATGATAAATAACACGGCATATTACATGATGTTTAACACATCACATGACACATAACACAGCTTATCTCAAGACATATCACATGATGCATCACATCACAATACTTATCACATGATTTATAACACGGCATATGACAAATCGCATGACATATCACATGATACATAACATGACATCACATCATGCGGCACATCACACGACATGATGATTCATAAGATGACATATCACATGACATATCACATGATGCATCACATGGCTTATCACATGATACATAACACATCACGATACATAACGCATCACATGACACATAACATGGCATATCTTATGGCATATCGCATGATACAGAACACCACACGACGGATCACAATACATAACATCACATATTACATTAATTATTTAACAACATTACACATCACATGAAACATCACATGATACATTACATGACATATCACATCATGTGGCACATGACATGACGATACATAACATGACATATCAAAACGTAATTTCACCTGACATCTCAAATTATAACACGGCAAATCAAATGATACTTATCACATCACATGACATAACGCAGCATATCTCAAGACATATCACGATGCATCACATCACGTAGCACATGACATACCACGATGCATAACATGACATATCACGATACATCACATGACATATCACATGGTACATACCAGCACCACATTGAACACAACACATCACGATGCATCACATCACACATCACATGACATATCACAATACATAACTACATATCACATGATACACAACAAGGCATATCATGTGACATGCTACATCACATGACACATCACAACACATCACAACGCACAGCAAATCACATGTCATAATGCATAATGGCATATCACATGACCTATCATATGCTACATAACAAAACACAGTACATGATACATAGCATGACATAACAGATGACATACCACATTACATATCACATGATGGATCACTTGACAAATCACATGATACATAATACGGCAAATCACATGATACTTATGACATCACATGACATAACGCAGCATGTCTCAAGACATATCACGATGCATCACATCACGTATCATATGACATACCACGATGCATAACATGACATGTCATGATACATCACATGACACATCACATGGTACATACCAGCACCACATTGAACACAACACATCACGATGCATCACATCACACATCACATGACATATCACGATACATATCTACATATCACGTGATACACAACAAGGCATATCATGTGACATGCTACATCACATGACACATCACAACGCACAGCAAATCACATGTCATAATGCATAACGGCATATCACATGACCTATCATATGCTACATAACACAACACATTACATGATACATAGCATGACATAACAGATGACATAACACATTACATATCACATGATAGATCACTGACACATCACATAATACATAACACGGCATATTGCGTGACATATCATGTGCTACATTACATGATACAAATTGCATGACACATCACATCACATGGCATACCACATGAAATATGATATGAAATCACATGACAACACACACACAAAGATTATGTGTGTGAGAGTGTATACATGTGTGTATAAGTGGACATAGCGTGATGATGATGTGTGTGTGTGTGTGTGTGTGTGTGTGTGTGTTACAGTGGAGGCGTACTTCAAACACAAACACTGACAGAGCTCAGCCTGCGGATCCTCAGCACACACTCCACATCTCTACACTAAGTGTCCGTTTGTACACTGCGTTATGAATTATGTATCGCTGAATTATGTATCATTAGATCGTGAAACCCTCAAACACTCCCATTGAACTTTTTTTTAATGATCTCCTATAGCTGTGGTTCAGTCCTGGTTCTGGAGACCCAAACATTTTCCTATGACTCTCCTATGTGGCACATGCAGATCAGGTCATAGAGTTCTTAGTGTTTAAATAAAGGAGATTACAGAGCGTTGCTTCCCAGGCCCAGGATTGAAAACCACTGTTCTAAACTGGCTGGAGCTTTGCTTTTGCACCAACTTCACTGAATAAAGCAGGGGTTTCCAATCTCTGTGCTGGAGGGCCAGCGTCCCTCATAGTTTAGCTCTAAGTTCCTTCAACACACCAGCCTGGAAGTTTCTAGTATACCTAATAAGAGCTTGATTAACTGGTTCAGGTGTGTTTAACTGGAGTTGCAACTAAAATATGTAGAACACCGGCCCTCCAGGATCGAGTTTGGACACCCCGGGTTTAAAGCAGGGCAGCTCAACCCTGTTCCTAGAGATCTACCTTCCTGCAAAGCTCAGCTCCAACCCTGATCAAAGATACATGAAGCAATTTAACAGGACCTGAACAGCACTTGATAATTACAGGCAGGTGTGTTTGAAATGGGTAAAGGTCGATCTTCAGGAACAATGTTAAGCACCCCTAAAGCATAAAGGCTCCATCTAGTGGTGAGTTATTTATTGATCGTCTGACCCATTTATTAAAGCAAATGTTTAAGTGATGGTAGGAATAGTTCTGTCAGAAATGATCAATCTGTCATTCTGTATTTCCCTCATGCTGTTTTAAAGGTTATGACTTACATTGTTCAGTATAAATATCTTAATTTGTAAGCAGAATCTTGCTGTTATATAAGTTGATATAGCTCTGATTTTTTTTTCTTTGGCAAAAATTGCCTTTAATTTTATTCTGTGGTGCAAACAGTCTTTAAATTTGCAATAAAATGCAAAAATATTCACACCCCTGATTTATTTTATGTTCCACAATGGTTTGCATTGGTTATCTGCCATATAATTCATTCATATGATTCCCCATATAATGAACAGGCTTTCATGGAAGTATTTGCTTTGTATTTTTTTCATAAATCTCATTGGTTACTCTCAAACTCAAGTGTCACATGACAGCTCAGTCTGAATATTTGAATATGCATGGCCATAAGTGAGCTGCATATGATGCAAAGAAATAAACAAAGCAACACGAGGGTCAGCAAATGATGCCAGAATGATCTTTTCCATGAGGGATTAATGCAACTTTTTAATAAAAGTATTGATCTAATAATCTGAGGTCTCTTTCTGCTTCTTCATGTGAGCTTGAGGAGAGCAGCGTGTGTGTGTGTGTGTGTGTTTGTACATCAGTGTGAATGGAAGAATATTGAGTGCAGTGCAGTGTGTGAAACGGCACCAGGGTGTTCAGAGTACGTCAGATCACACCAGTCTGAGAGAAGAAGAAGAAAGCAGACTGAAAAAGGAGAGAAAGTGCAGACACAACACACACACAGATTCTCAGATGAACAACACACACCAGCGGAGCTCTTACTTCAGCACAATCCCACACTGAGGATCATGGGAATGTTCAGAAGTGATCGCCGAAGGATTATTCAATCAGTTGCTTCACCTTCATTTGCTGCAGACTCTTGTCGGATCGCTCTCAGAACTTTTCTGAAAACTAAAATTTGTCTTTTATCCTCCTTTCAAGAATCTAAAGAAAGAATCCTTGGATGCAAGAACTCCCAGTAAAGCAACCTGTAAGTGCTAAAGACCTGCTTTTAATATCCAGTAATGAGTAACGCAGCTAATAGCAGCTCCACGGCTGGAGTTGCAGGAGTAGTTTGGGTCACTCCACTTCTTGGCGCAACCCTCGTCACCATGTGTGTTTTGGGATTGACTGGCAACCTCTACACCCTCGCCATCATGCGTTCAGCAACATTACGGCGCGCCGGATCAATGTACGTCTTCATCCTCAACCTCGCCACTGCAGACCTGCTCTATCTCGGCACCATCCCATTCGTCGTCTGCACCTACTTTGCGCACGATTGGTTTTTCGGGGAGATGGGCTGCAGGGTGCTGTTGAGTTTGGATTTGCTCACGATGCATGCAAGCGTGTTTGTTTTGGTTGCGATGAGTATGGAGCGCTACCGTGCAGTCGCCGCACCTTTTCGAGCACGTCTTTCGACCGCTCGTGGACACTGGATGATGGCGTTGGGAATTTGGATTGCTGCCTTCATCTTGACTCTTCCCATGATGGTCATGATTCGTCTTCGAGAGGGACGTCCTGCAACTGTTGGACTCGTAAAGCGGATTTGTTTCCCAACGTGGACTCCTGAAGCGTTTAAAGCGTATCTGACTGCACTCTTCTTCACTAGCATGCTTTTACCTGGTCTTCTCATGGTTGGTCTTTACGCTGGTTTGGCTAGACATTACTGGGCCGCCCAATCCAACCTCGCCCGAGGATCCTCATCATCTTTTCGAAGGCGTAGATTGAAGCATAAAGTCGTAGGAATGATCTTCTGCATCGTGGTCGCGTACTGGGCTTGTTTTCTGCCGTTTTGGGGTTGGCAGATGGCGAAGCTTTTCTCATCGGAGTCTTTGCGCTCGCTGTCGCCCGCTGCTCATACTTATGTTAACTTTTTTGTCACCTGTTTGACGTATGGGAATAGTTGCGTGAACCCGTTGCTTTATACACTTCTAACACGCAACTATCGAGACTATTTAGCCCAGAGAGGGCAATCCTCTGGGTCGAGTCGAGTGGATCAGGGGTCAGCCGCTGCGGTCAACATGATCCACGATCAAATTGGATGAGTTATGGAGTTTATGTTGCTCTACTAGTGCCTGCATTTCAGTCTCTCCAGGAGTCTTTATATTAAAATGAGCTCAACATTGGCTCATTGTGCCCTGGTGTACATTTCTGAGAACTGAGAAATATCAGCAGAATATATGGCTGCATTATATGTGTAAATTGAATGCTATGGGGTGAAACTGACTGCGTACCTCTGTTGGCACTGGAAAAAATGCTTCTTGATTTAAGAATTTTGAGATATTTGGACTAGAAACAAAACAAAAACTCTTTTTTGGAGTGTTTCAACAAGATCAAAGGTAATTATGCTCAAAATGATTCAGACCTTGCCTACACATGTACACTGTAAAACCCAAAAAGTTAAGATAAATCAAACCATTAACCATGCAACAAACCCTTAAGGTTCAAAAACTAATCCTAATGAGTACCGTGAACTTAATCAATTTAAGTAAATCAAGCAATTTAAGCACTGTAAAGCTTAATAAATAAAGCAAACTCAAACCAAATGAGTACTGTAAACCCCCAATGGGCTAACTCAAACCATTTGAGGAAAACCAATTGCTACAAACCATCTGAGTTAAAAAACGAATCTATATGAGTACTGTGAACCTACTCCATTTAAGTTAAAGTAATGAGGTCTTTAATTAACTCATTACCTTCAACACTGAGTCCACAACTCTTTTCATATGAGTAGAATTAACCTTCAGTACATTTTGAGTTCACTACACTCATTTCCTCTGATCAAGTCGACTGTTGGGATTTACAGATGTATTATTAATATATTATCCACTTGTGATTGGTTTCAAATAAGCACTTGTTAATTACATATGCAAAATAGCTGTTAGTACATCATTATTGGCTGGACCGAAATCATGTAGCAGCCCCCTTCAGACATACAGACTTTACCTGAAAATCAACAGTAAATGGAGTATATGCACACGGACTTCTAACTTCAGTCAGCCAGCCCCAGGGCTTCCGGGGAATTGTCATCCTGTATAAAATCACAGCATTTAAGATCTTAGGATGTCCTTCGAAAAAGAGTAAGGGGTTAACCCCCGGCATCCAGAAGCCCACTGCCCTCTGTCCATCATGGCCTCCTAACCCTCCCCATATCATTATTAGCTTCATCCCTCTGTCTCCTCTCCATCAATCAGCTGGTGTGTGGTGTGCGGTCTGGTGCAAAATAAGTGCCGTCGCATCATCCAGGTGGATGCTGCACACTGGTGGTGAATGAGCAGATCCCCCCCATTGTGTAAAGCGATTTGAGTGCCCAGAAAAGCGCTATATAAATGTAAGGAACTATTATTATTATTATCTGATTTCCTAAAAAAAACTGCGATCTTCACTGCCTGGCTGAGATATGATCTAAAGTGTGTATCAGACCAAACAAGAAGCACTGCATTCAGTTATATCAGGGTGTCCTCGAGGTCTTATAAAGTATTAAAGTTGATAAGTCAATAATGAGAAAGTCAAGGCCCTTAAAAGCTATTAAAAAGTCTTACTTGCATTTTTTAATTTTGTTTCAGCATTGTCCAAAGTGTTTGACTCCAAAAAAAAGCATAAGCATATTTATTTTCCCTTTAATATTAACAACGGCGTGCTCAATCCATGAGAATGGCTCAGGCTGGGGCGCATCCGGCCAAGCTCCTCCATCCGGGTGATGTCACATAATTTGCGACAAACGCGGTAAAAAGAAATGTGACGCTCTCTACATAGTGAAACCACAGAGCGAAATAATGGCAAAATGGAAATTTGCGTACTCCTGGATGGAGAAAGACGAGTTGAAACAGTGGCTGAAGCCTGTCGCTGAAAACAACCACATCATTTGTTCTCTCAAGCTTTGATTCATCTGAGCTTATCCGAGTTCTGGTGCATGGTTGTGATCCATTGATTTATGCAACCACAACTGTTTATTAGGGTAAAGGTTTGATACTAATTAGAACTAAGGACCGAGTGGCGATATGGTCTTAAAATATTCTGAGAAGGTCTTTAAAAAGGTATTGAAATTACTTGTAGGATATGGACATTAATTTTACCCCAGTATTTTGAATGGTAGCCTGCCGCTGATGACGGCGCCTGCGTTTACATGGACTTTTGTCTCTTTGTAAACTTTAACAACCAAATAGACGCTTAAGTCTATTTTTATATTTGCATCACATTTCAACATGTGAGTTTGTGCTGAACTAATCTATCGTTTGGCTGATCATCAGATGTGGGATTAGGGAAGTGTTTTCTCTTCCCTTTAATAAGCTGATATGATACTCTGGTTAGTTTTATGGTTAATATTGTATGATTTTGCATGCATCATGGATTTTAATTGCTGTCTGTGACCCAGTTTTTGGACCAGCAGAGAAACACTGAATTATAAATTTTACCCTCTGATTAATGGTGCTATTTTTATTTTTCAAGTCTGTAGGCGTATATCGGTAATTTATGCAAGCTTTATGTGAATTTATTGCTTCTTTAGAGGTTTGTTTAGTAAGATGATCAAGCTAAATAAAGTTTATTCACCCACCGTCATTCAGACTGGCAGGTGAACTCATCTGTGTGTGTGTGTGTGTGTGTGTGTGTGTGTGTGGAATCTGCTTTCTGTCCGTCACATTCCTCAGCTCCTGCTTCAGGCCTTTTCGAGCCCCTCTGTAAATTATCATGAGGTCCCTGTAGCTCTGAACTGAACTCTTACATTTAACACAGGGATAAAGTAATACAGATGGCAGCGATCAGAATTCACCAATTTATTTTTTAGGAATTTATTTAAATTAGATTTTTATTTTTATTCTTTTGTTTTTCATTTGTTTCATTGGTTTATTTGTAGCTGTATATGCATTGTAAACACATTTGCATTTAAGGATCTTATCACTGTTGCACACTAATTATGCACTTTGCAGTTTGGTGAAATAAAAAACTAAACTACTAATACTTCCATACTACTTGTTATTTATTTATTTTTGTTAGAGAAGGGATAATGAAGCCAAACCATTGAAGTTTTAGAAAATATTGCATATGTGAAGTGGTAAAGAGTGACATTTACACCTTAAGTGTGCATCATTTTCGAATAATTCACCAGTCAGGGGTGCATTATTCTGCTTATGCCCTTGATGTTGTATTTGAGAGTCTATTTGTCCTCCTCAAATGTCTCCTGTGTGTAGCACTAGTATCCTCCACATCTCCTTGTCCTTCTTCTGTTGTGATGTCTGACTGTTGTAGCTGTGAAATGACTCTAATTATTCAGCAGAGTGATATGGAGCTGTGATGCGCTCAAAACCTGCCGGAACTACTTTAGCTCTGCCTTTATCTGACAATAAGCAAACACCTTAGGGCAGGGGTGGGCAAATTTGGTCCTGGAGGGCCGGTGCCTTGCACAGTTTAGCTCCAACACTAATCAAACACACCTGAACATGCTAATCAGTGTCTTCATGATCACCAGAAATCTAAGAGCAGGTGTGTTTGATTAGGGTTGGAGCTAAACTCTGCAGGACACCGGCCCTCCAGGACTTAGTTGCCTACCCCAGCCTTAAGGTGAACATCAGCCAATCGGAATCAAGCATTCGATAGACCTGTGGTATAAGTTAAATAAAGGACGAAACACTCAGCTTTTCACATTCAGTCAGTGGATTTATTGACACTGCAGTGTTTTTCTGTGGCACTTCATGATGTTTGACACACTGACATCTGCAGGCTGGACAGATGAGCGTCTGCTGTTTATTTGGCTTTAACGCTGATGATCTTCACGTCTCCTTTCACGTGTACGTGTGAGAAGGCATCGTCTCCGAATCGGTTTGGGAAGCTCATCATGGTTCCTTCAGGGAGTTTGATGTAGAAGGTCTCGTTGTTGAAGGTGATGCTCAGCTGATGGAGGAGAGAAACACACGGTGAGATTAGAAGTTCATCAGTTCATTTTATAGCATCATCTGAACATGCAGGATCTCTGCCATTTCTCAATAATCTGTGTCTGAATCACTGCTTTGTTCACTTTTAGGGGATCCCTGGAGGAAAACACTAGAAAACATTCCAGAATGTATGACGGCTTTCACTACAGATACCATTCTGGCATGGAAAAGTATTGTATAGCAAATGCTCTGGTGTTAATGAATGCACTGGGACATGGTGGCATTAACGTTAGTGAAATGTAGTAAACACTGTAGTGTACTTTACTTTTTACTGCAGTAAACTGTGGTGTATTGTAGTGTATTATACTCTGTAGTTGTAGAAAAGCTACAGAGTGGCTCATTTGTTTATATTGCTATTGTTGCTGTGTTACTATAGCAACTGTAGAATCGCCACGGCCGATTAATTACCATAATTGTTGTGTTATCATAGCAACTGTGGAATCACCACAACAGTTTAATTACTAGTTGTTGGGTTACCATAGCAACTGTGGAATCACTATAACAGATAAATTATTATAGTTGTTTGATCACCTTAGCAACAGTAGAATCAACACCACTGATTAATTACTATAGTTGTTGGGTTACCATAGCAACTGTAGAATAACCACAACAGATCAATTACTATAGTTGTTGTGTTACCATAGCAACTGCAGAATAACCACAACAGATCAATTACTATAGTTGTTGTGTTACCATAGCAACTGTAGAATCACCACAACAGATTAATTACTAGTTGTTGTGTTACCATAGCAACTGTAGAATAACCACAACAGATCAATTAATGTAGTTGTCGGGTTACCATAGCAACTGTAGAATCACAACAACAGATCAATTGCTATAGTTGTTGTGTTACCATAGCAACTGTAGAATCACAACAACAGATCAATTACTGTAGTTTTTGGGTTACCATAGCAACTGTAAAATTACCACAAAAATTAATTATTATAGTTGTTACCATAGCAGCCGAAGAATCATCGCAACAAAGTAATTTAAGTAAAGTTTTATAGTGTTTTTAAAAATAGCGTAGTACTTTTTTTACTTTCAGATTTGTTTTTTGTTTTTTTCACGTTGGGTAAAATACTACAATCTGTCAAGCTTTAAACATTAAATATTATCGGATATATCTATTACAGAATTTATTGCTTTTAGGACGACACTAATAAAAGTAGTAAAACAACAGACCCAAAGCACCAATTGGGTTTTCATTAAAACTATTATGAATTCTGTGTTGTTTTAGTAGTCGGGTTTCCCTAAAGGTGTAGTAAGAAATCACCAGCAACATTATCCCTTTAGCTAAATACATGATGACACAATATACACTGCATTACAACCCCATCAACATCTTTCTTTATTTGTTTGTATGTAACATTAAATCAGACATTTACTGTACTGCAGCTTTGAAACAATAATATAGTAAATAGCACGTGTTTATGGAATTTTCAAAAGTGACTTGAATATCTCTGCATCTGTAAGTGTGTGTTTTGTTATCGAGTACATCTGACGCTGCTGTAAAGTGTGTGCTGTCAGTATTATTCATCCTCAAACCTCTGACCGGTGGGCGTTTATTGCTCAAGTGCACTGGGTAATGCTTTATGATTCATAGTCATGCGTTGCTGTAATCTGTCAAACGGCTGAA